TTCGGTGTGGACCTTCTCCCCATCACGCTCCCGTCCGCTCGCGCGAGAGTGACGACCGGGCAGAATGGATCCAGAAAACCCCAATGGACACAGTACCAAACGGAACTCGATACACCAAGCATTATATAGTCGCCCTGTGGAGCGACGATCGAGCAAGAAGTCTTCATCTAGGGACCGCCACGGCATGGTCTACCCAGACAGCTTTCGAGACACTGGCATTCGTACGGTGACCCCGGAATCACACTCCCCTTTATCTGAGAGCGAACACTTTACCCAAAGTGCGCCCTCGCCACGAACTACCATGCGATCGCGAACCGTCGAACGAACCGAGCCGGAAGCGCCGACGGAGGGAAGGACCGTGCGGACGCGATCACGAACCACAACGATGGAGGAGCAACGAAGCGACATAGGGTCCAATACCGTGAAGTCTCGCGCACGTATTGGGTCAGTCAACGCCGCCAGCTCATCTCAACCCAAGACGGCTGAAGGTAAAACCTCGGAAGATTCCTCCTCCTCCATTGGATTCCCATCGATACAATCTCCCAACTATATTGGTCAAGCAGTTACACGCCAGCGAAAATCCCCTGGGAGTAGCCGATCACCAACAGTCGCACACAACCAATTCGCCTCACCTCTCTCGAACACCGATGCCGCCAAGATACTGCAATTGATGAAGACCACTTGCGGAAGGATGCATGGAATCCTGTCTTTCCGAACATCTTCCAACTCCTCATGGGGGTCAAGCCCCTGGACCTCGGGATACTGCGCAATTAATGTCGCTACTGGAAGTCTCATATACCAGGCAAAGGGAGAACCTGCTTTAGCAAAGACCCTCATCCCTGATCTCCGCGGCTGCCGGGTACGGACTTTGTTTGATTCAGAGCTTCAGACAACCTACCTGAGCGTTCATACATTCACCTCCGGGCTGGGCATCCAGCTACGGCCTCATGTCAACGAAACATTCGACTCTTGGCTCGCAGCTCTATTATGTTGGCAGCCCATACGTCCCAAGGGCGTTCAGAATAAGATGACCAAACCTCAATCCGTCATTATCGGAGACCGACGAATCCCTGAACGTCGAAGAAACTCTGAGACCGCATCCCAAAAAGAAGCCGCTATCATCAAGGTCGGTAAGATGCTTCTTTGGGACAAACCGTCTGCGGCTGGAGTGCGACCGGCATCGGCGGTACGTCGCGTTTCGACATATAGACAGTCAAGAGCCCTCTCTTCCTCCTGGCAGCGAGTGAGCTGTAGGCTACTAGAAAACGGCTTTTTTAAGCTCTATACTGAGTCTGATGTTGCTCTTGTGGCATGCATTCAACTTTCGCAATTATCGCGCTGTGCCATTCAACAGTTGGATTCGTCGGTGCTGGATGATGAGTTCTGCATCGCCATTTACCCGCAATACACAGCACATCCCGTTCCTGATGCAGCGATGCGTCCCATCTATCTCGCTCTGGAAACCCGCGTCCTTTTCGAGGTCTGGTTCGTTCTGCTGCGTGCATTTACCATCCCAGAGCTCTATGGTCCTCAACTGCAAGCTACAGAGGAAGACCCGAATAAAACCCCGGAGGCCGACAATTCACCCACTAAGGGCATGTTTCGAATTGAGAGAATCCTACACTTGCGAGTTACGGAAGCGAAGCTTTTTCGTACCAAGGAAGAGGAAACACCGCGAAGTCGAAAACAATCTAGATCGCATGGTTACTCTGCTCCGGCCTCGCCCAAGGCTAGCGACTTTTACACGGAGGTTCTTTTGGATGGGGAAATTCGCGCGAAGACTGCTGTTAAATACCGCACCACAAACCCATTCTGGCGAGAAGATTTCACCTTCAATGATTTACCGCCAGTCCTGTCGCAGGCTTCTATATTGGTCAAAACCCTCAACGCACAGAGAGATTGGACGCTCATTGCGCAAGGGACATACTCGTCCACTCAAGAAGTCAACGCAGTCAACATGCTCGATGAAATTGAGATTTCCACCAATGACGCAGTGTTTGGACGGGTGGATTTGCGGTTGGATGAATTGGACTCGGGCGTGGACTCTGAAAAGTGGTGGCCCATTTTAGATGATCATGATCAAGCAGTTGGTGAAATGTTCATGAGAGCTCGAATGGAAGAGACAGTAGTCCTGATGTCTGAAGAATACGCCCCGATGAAGGAGCTCCTTCACAAATTCACCAATGGCCTAACAATCAATATGGGCCAAGTGATGTCGTCTGAATTGACGCAGCTCGCTGAGATGCTTCTGAATATCTACCAGGTCTCTGGGTCCACAGTAGACTGGATCTCGGCGCTGGTCGAGGATGAGATCGATGGCCTCCACAAGGAGTCCACCGCTAGTCATCTGCGGTACACGACAAGAATTCATTCGAATGACACCCGGGAATCCTCCGGTCATGACCGTAATGTCCTAGTCAGAGATATGGGGAGGACAGCCACTGTGGAAGCCAATCTCCTGTTTCGCGGGAATTCGCTCTTGACCAAAGCACTCGATCAGCACATGCGTCGGTTGGGTAAAGAATATTTGGAAGAGACGATCGGAGAGCGCCTACGCGAGATCGACGAGAGTGATCCCGAGTGTGAAGTGGACCCAGCTAGAGTTCCGCGTGCCGAAGACCTTGATCGCAACTGGCGGAACCTAATCAATCTCACCACGATGGTCTGGAAGTCCATTGCGATTTCATGGTCCCGGTGTCCTGCTGAGCTCAGGCGTATCTTTCGACATGTCAGGGCGTGCGCTGAGGATCGCTATGGCGACTTCTTGCGCTCTGTGACTTACAGTAGTGTATCTGGCTTCCTCTTCCTACGGTTCTTTTGCCCGGCCATTCTCAACCCCAAGCTCTTCGGGCTCTTGAAAGGTAAGAGCCTCTGTATGCCCTATTCTGTTCTATTCGCTCACTATCCTCGCAGACCATCCCCGTCCTCGCGCCCAGCGCACTTTAACCCTCATTGCCAAGGCCCTCCAGGGCTTAGCCAACATGACAACATTCGGCAACAAAGAACCATGGATGGAGCCCATGAACAAATTCCTGGTTGGCAACCGCACCGAGTTTAAGCAATTCGTCGATCTTATCTGTGACATCCCGTCGAATGCGACAGCTCCTATTCCCACCCCCTCCTATACCACTCCGTTGCAAATTCTTGGACGGTTGCCACCTACCTCGCGTGAGGGCTTCCCTAGTCTTCCATTTTTGGTCGACCAATCCCGGTGCTTCGCAAACTTGATTCACATTTGGCTGGAAGTTGTCCCTGAGCGACTCTCTGAATTGGAAGAGATCGATCCGTTCCTTTCCAAGTTTCATGAATTGGCACTTCACCTGCAAGAGCGCACTGAAGATTGTTTGGATGAGGCTGAGCAAGCTGAACGCCCAAATGATACTCTTCAGATCAAATGGGAGGAGTTAGTGGATTCCATGGAGCGGGCCGTGACCTTCTATGATGAGAGTTCAAGCAAGCCAGCGACTCCAGCTCCGGATTCTACTGCTACTGCTCCTGCTGCCCCAGGGTCTGCTGCCTCGGCAACTCCAGGTCATCGTGGCTCTATTGGATTCTTCGCACCTCGACCTCCCCTTCCCCGTCGATCAACCGACTGTGCGCCAGAGGAGGATGACACTCCACCCAGCTCTTCCTCTGCCACTTGGGATCAGTCTCGCATGCCCTTCACGATACCCCGATGGTCTGATGCTCGCGATAGCACCGGCAGCTCCAAGAATTCCTCTACCTATTCTCTCGACCACTCTGAGAATTCCAAGGCTCGCAGGTCCAGTGTAACGAAGGAGAGCTCTAGCAAATACCGCTTCTTCGATTTTGTCCCTGCTCCCTCCCGCCGCAAGGCCAAGGAACGTGATCAATCCGGTCATCACTCACATGAAGATCTCCGGAACGAATTCTGATCGACGAACTCCCCAATATGCCCTAGCATTTATTGATCTCTGGTTCTTTACTCTTTATGTGCTCATGAAGTCCACGCTCCTCTTCTTGTGTTCTCGTCCTTTTTCCATTCCATTCCCTCTCCATGTCATCCCAGCATGTGTCACGGTGTTGATACCCTTTCCCCTCTCTTGGTTTTGGTTTTTTTTATATTGTGTTTCAGGCTTAGCTCTCCTGTATGCCCGGTAAACCCCGACCCAGCTCTTGCACGACAAGAAATCAAAACCAAAACAAGAAAGAGATAAATCTTACACAGAATCGGGCGGTTGGGCCCTTGGTTTACACAAAAGCACACTTATGCTGGGTCGGGGTCTGAAATTTTTGGAGGGCATATTTCTTTATACTGTTTCTGCATGGGCAGACTCGTGGGAGAGGCTATCCAATGTGTAAATATTCTTGATATCTCCCCAAATAGACGGATTGGGCTTTTTACCTATGCTGTTTATCACAAACATCATGATTCGTAGATATATACATGTTCTCTGTAGATCAGCAGACCTGCCGTTATTGCCATGCATGGCTTTGTTCTAGAAAAGAAAGATCAACATGACCCATGAGGATCATACTTATACATACCTAGCCTAAACGCTTTTTAAGGCCATGATTTCTGATGCACGTTGGTTAATTTAACCACTCAAACCTTACCTATAGGTTCCCGGGCCGATCCCGCATAGTGCTCCCGTATCGTCCTGTTGTCTGCCTTTCCAAGACTCATATTCTATTGTTGTTCTACGATGATTTCAACAGGCTACTACATGTCATAGTAGTCAGGCTTTGTCTATCCAATACGGAGGTGAAGATCTGTGACAACAGTAGTAAATATGTGCTTTTTCTCGGTTGATTCAATGTCATTGCAATTTAGCCTACACACAGAACCTTTTCCCACTTCTGAGAAGCGCGTCTCTATCTAGATAGACTGAATCAGCGAGAGGACGCAAAAATGCATGATAACATGTCTTCATTGTTTGAAGTCATTTGGAACCACACTATACTCGAGAATAAAATTATACACAGCTTTTTAAACCCTCACTCCCTAGACAGGTTCCGGTCTCTTCAACATTACTATGCTAAGTCATTTTCACCCGGGTCACGGGGCCCTTATAGGACTTGTGGCCACGAAGCATATAGTAGCCCATTGAACCGAGAATGACCGCGCCGTAGATTACCACAGCCCAGTTCATATTAGACGGTGTCACCTTCTTATTTAGAGGGAAGAAACAGAAGACCCAGATCACCAACAAGACGATGATAGAGATCGTGTCGCAGATAGGTGTGAACTTGCCCATGCTCCAGCGTGCTGGAGGCAGAGGCTGGCCCCGCCAGCGTCGGAGACGAACACAGGAGATAGAAATAATATAGGAGGAGAGGAGTGCGGCAGTACCGAGAGACATAATGGCGTTGAAAGCCACCGAGGATCCAATGTTGATGAGGGATAGGAGTGAGACGATTACCAGGCTCACGCATAGAGCATTAAGAGGCACGGTGAAAGTTGGGTTGACCTTGAAATCCATATTCCATTAGAGGTGTCCGTGAGGGTTGGACTTGGGGTCAAGACTTACAGTCGCGAAGAAATCGGAGAAAGGAAGACCTTTGTCACGAGCGAAAGAGTAGATCTGGCGGGAGGTTGTCGCGACGTTACTGATCGCAGCGCAGAATTGCATGATCATGATCACCACTGTCATTCCGGTTGTTGCGCGGACTGATCCTGTGGAGTTGAGGAAGACCTGGATGAAGGGGAAGCCTGTCGTGGAAGCGAGGACTTCGTCGATGTCGCCGACGCAAAATGCGAGAGTAACAATCATGACGAAGCCAGTGGAGCCGTTTAGGATCAGCGTCCAGACCATGCCTAAAGGGGAGAACGCGAGAAGCGTCTCTGATCTCCTCGGCTATTCAATTTATCAGTATTTTAATCGGTGGAAGAGTAGACATATACATACACATATGGACTGCGGAGTCGGGGCCTGTGAGGCTGTTAGTAAATTTCAAGTGGTAAAAAGCCTTATGCTGCACATACCGATCAAAGCATAAATGGGTCCAATCAGTCCAACCAGACAGGAAAGCCCATTGTTTCCCCATCCACCTCGATCTTCGATAGAACCAAACACCTCGGAGGGAGGGACGGTGGGAGAAAGCACCCAGAGAGGAATCAAGATACCCAAAAAAGCCAAACACATGGACGATCAGGATGATTCCCTCAATCATGGGCAGCTTCTGGGCTAGGAAGGTATTGAACAACATGGCCACCGCAGCCACGGCAATCACAAGCAGCGTGACATGGTATGGCTGATACTCATAGGTATCAGGATAGTTGATGGCAACAATACCAACCATCATATTAGCGACAGTATAACAGCATCCTGCGATACCGGTGTGCCATCCCAAGACACAAATCCAACCAGTCATGTAACTTAATACAGCCTGGGAACCTGGGGGAGCAAACTCCGACACCCAGTGATATTGCCCACCAGAAGTAGGGGCCCTGAATCCAGTTAGTAATGCAGATGGCCAAGCCTTGCCAAGAGTTCTACTTACATGGATGCCATCTCAGCCATGGAAAGGATAACGAAGCTGAACCCTACTAGGGCGCCTAGGTAGGTATAGATCATCCCACCTTTGCCGCCATCAGTCAAGCCATAGGATGAACCACTACCAGGATGTCAGCAGTGCCATTTGGAAGCATAACCGTATAGACTTACAAAAGGACGGCTTCCCATGTGCACATAAGTACCGCTGTGAAGCCCAGAACGGAAAGGAAGCGGAAGTTTCTCTGCATTATTTTAGCTTCTAATTTTTGCTTTTTCTTGGTTGAAAGACGCATACGTTCAATTCTTGGTTGCGACCAACACGCCACATGTCCTGCTTGTCCTGCGTCGTACCCGATCTGGGGTCGGCGACATCCTCAGCCGAGCCTTTGACGTTCGTCGTTACTCCTTCCTCGAACCCCATGATGGAACAGTTCGAATATTAGAACCAGAAAAGGGGTGTGATTCAAGGTAATGAAGTGTGAGAGAGAGAGAAAAAAAAGATTAAGGGTTGGAACTCAGTTAAAGCCAAAACAAGTTAAAAAAATGTAACCACACGCGTAGACTCGGAAACAGCGAATCCCAGTGGAGTCAAGAAGCAGTAGCATATGCAGGATTCGGAGAAATGAGGGACCAGGAAAAATAACAAACATATATGTTTCAAGAACCCTACGAGCTCTAGTCCAACAAGCCGGGATTATAGTTGGCGAGAAACAAAATCCTATGCATTAGGGCAGACGCACTAGTCTAGCCTGGGAGTGCGAAATTAAAGCATCCCGCGCCGAAGCTGGCCAGATTCCCATCCGTTAGGGTTCTTAGCAGCTAAGAACCTTAGCCAATGAACCATAAATAATTGGCCCGATACTATCGTGCCGCTATTCTGTTCCACCTCGATCCTTTGTGAACTAGGATCTGAATCCTTCTATCCGCAGTGCAGCTGCGTTGTGCCGATCATGTTCTGTTCTTGGGATAGCGGCAACATCGTGATTCGTAACCCGACAGGGGGCGAATCCAATGCCAGGCATCGCAGACAAGAATCCTACAGAATCTTACAATAATTTGATTTCTTCCAGTTCTTGGAGGGGCTATGAGTGGAGTCTCCCCCGGGGGCGAAAGTAGGCTGGAATTGTTATACTTTTACTCTGATGCACCAAGGATCAGGCCAGGACCCCTGTAGTTCATGGATCCTTTGGAAACCCTCCAGTATAATTCATAATGTACACTGTAACAGTATAATGCTATCGTGAAATCTCTGCTTCAATTGTTGTCGCCATTTTTTTTTTTGTTTCGCACCATGGCGTCCGATTCCCCTTATACAGTCTCCCCGACGGATCGAAGTGGTCTGATCATTATTGTCGAGACATTGTTCATGTCATGGATGATCATTGTGGGATTAATTCGGTTGTACATGCGACTTGCAATCAATGGACCAGTGCAGATTGACGATTTGACGGTGTTTTTCGGAAGTGTAAGTCTTCTCCAGATAAAACTACACCATAGGATCATCCATGTCTCTCCAGGGCCATCATTCTATGGTGAAGGCGTGCAAGGACTAATTTTTCCGCTTCGTCATATAGGGACTAGCTGTCGCTCATGTAGGAACAACCATGGACGCAGTGAACCACGGCCTAGGCCGACCTCAAGATGCAAGTTCGGAATCGAGCTTAAAACGTGCTGGAGAGGTAAGTCAATGCCTTCATCTATACGCTGCAATGGAGGTTGAATCAACTCACCAGTATTCCAGGGCCTTTATGCAGCAAATCTTTTGTTTTTAGCTGCACACGGAGCCTCCAAAATCTCCGTATGTCTGCTATTGAAAAGACTAGGCCGACAACAAAAGTACCTCCTCGCCTCAAGGATTCTTCTGGGAATGGTAGTCGCATGGACAATCGCTTCATTCTTAGCCATTGCTCTCAGTTGCTACCCGGAATACCTATTGGATCAATCAGCCGTGGCGCAGAAATGTGGAAATCTCGTACGTGACCACTTGCTCTCCTTGTATGATCCAGCTCACAATGGAAAACAGAATATAGCCTGGAAGTCCATTACGGCGTTTGACGTGGTCACCGATGTTCTCTCCTTTGGACTGAGTATATTCCTGGTGTGGGGTATTCAGATGCGGTGGAAGGAGAAGGCCACTGTGATCTTTGCCTTTGGAACGAGGACGCCGTAGGTCCATGTTGGATATCGCGTACAGATAATGCCAGGCTAATCATCTTATTCTGACTAGTACTATTATCTTGATCATCCTCCGGCAGGTCTACCTCAACGACGCACTTTATCACCCTGATCCACCTTTCCTTTTATCCAACGCAACGATCGCCACTGCCGTCCTCCTTCACTCCAGCCTCATGGTCTCCACCGTGCCGTGCCTAAAACCTTTCGTGATCGCATTTAACACAGGCTGGGGACAAGGCGTTACCAACAGTCATGGCGAGAACTCGTACTTCACTCCGACTGGAAAGAGCGGATCAACCAATCACTCTCGAATCTATACGACGAATATAGGAGACGAAGACGATGCGATTGAGGTAGAACATGAGCGGGATTCTCAGGAAAGTCAACACTCGCGACAGTTGATTATTCACCAAACGCAGGAGTGGACATTACAAGAGGAGTATGAGATGGAGGCGGTTAAGGATAGGAATTGAGTCCGTAGTTGGATTCGTAATGATTTCACGGTTGCTTTTGTAAACAGTAGACGGGGATTTAAATTCCATTGGGACATAGACAAATGCAGAGATACATGCCCCCATTTCTATACTGACTAGGCTACTACTCTCTATACAGCGGTTGAACTACTTAGCCACAGGCTCCCGAATCATCGACAGCGCCCCCTCGGGAGTAACAATCTTATCCTCGCGATCTTGAAATCCAAATTTCCGATACAATGGCGCTGCATCAATATGCGCATCCAAATAAGCAGGAACACCATCCTGATCCGCAAGGTCACAGCCCCACTGGATCAACATCGAAGCCGCGCCCCGTCCCCTATACTCCGGATCCACAACCAGCATATCCAAATCTATAGTAATCAGTATAAGGTATTAGCAAAAAGCAATATCCACATACAGTAAAACCTCCGCTCCCCAAAAAACGCCTTCTTCTCCTTGTCCAAATCAGTATAGACTAAATCACAAGTCTTTCGATCCGACTCTGCATGCCACTCGGGAAAACGCGCGCCACTGTGCTGTGGGTCCAGGTCCCATTTAGCGTATGCAACCACGGCACCAGCGGGATCGACAATTTTGAGGTATTTACGATGCGGGTTGTGGAGCAGATCGTGGCCGTTGGCTTCGTCCCACCACGCTCGGATACCTGGCGTGTTTGGGAACATGAGGAGGTTAATTGGGATACTGAAAGATTTGTACCAAAGCTCTGAGAGGGACGGGATATCATCCTGTGTGGCTAGTTGGAGGGCGAGGGGGGCCATTTTGACTCGGTGCGAACTACCTAGGCTGGTTTGGCGTGAAGGGTACTCTGTAGGGTCTTAATAAACTTTTGAGGCGTGGAAAATTCTGCAGATTTAGAATTGGAATTGGTCTGGACGTGCAAAGGTTATATGGCGTGTTTTGATCCAGAGATTCGGGTCCATTTAGACTTCACGAAATGAATTCTGCGTTGGGGCCAATCGGTGGTAGGCGTCGGGATGGATCGATGATCCGGGACACAGTTGTTCAGGCACCAATAGCAGGTTTGGCCCCCAATTTAGCTTGCAGGTTTCAATTTCATTAGGGGGATTTTTTTTTTTCTTCTTCATTTGGATTTTCATTTAAGTGAATTCACTAAGCGATGCAGTTGAAGTGGCCAAGGGGCTTTCCAGGTCCTCCTTTACATAGACCATGGAATGAAGCAGAACAGGGAAACCAGAAGAACTGAAGAGAAAAGAAACAATGCCAAATGCACGATGCTAAATGTTTAACTATCAATGAATCCCCCAAAACCTCTCCGCATTGAACGTATACCGATTATCGTCTTTCCACAAATCGTCAAAAGCCGTAAAAAGCACCAAATCATCCCCCCGATGCGCAAAACTCCTCCTCAAACTCTCAACAGCAACCCGCTGATTCTCCGGCGAAGGAGTAGCATCCCCATTAGCTTGTCCAGCATGCGGCCACCCCGATTCCGTAATGATAGTATGCTTTCCCCCCGCCGCAGCCGAAACAGCATGCATCTGCTCAAGAGCATACGGGCCAGCATTATGCGGCTGTTGCGTCGCATCAAAAAAGGCATGACAATTCGCAGCACAGTAATCCGACGCGAGGCATAATTCCGGGTGCTGCAGAAGTACGGAAAAAGTGTCCACTGTGACAACGGGACCTTTGTACCCCTGTGCGCGGAGCCAGGTACGAGCTTGAGTAATGGCGCCCGAGACTTCGGCGGGTGTGCTGCGGCCGCCGTTTACCAGTTCGTTGCCCACGGCGATAGTATGGAAGACGGTCCAGTCTTGGGTACCGTCTTCGGTGGTGGCGGCTTCTTTGAAAGCGTTGAGGCTTGTGGGGAAGTCGGTTAGATCGTATATTCCGGCAAATACTTGCATTTTGTGCAGACGTGCGGCTCGGGCTACAAGAGTTGTTTGGGAGCAATCTGTTCCGTAGATGCGGACGAACTGATATTGGGATAGGAGGTCGAAGTCCTTGTTAACTCGGTCTTGGGTTTTGCAGCTTCTGTCGGCATTGTATGGAGAGTATGAGATGCCGAATTGGCGGGTACGGTGCTCGGCTGGTTTGGGGTGTGGAAGTGGTTCTGGGTGAGATTGTGGTACTGGGTGAGGTTGTTCGGAATGCTGAGAGTGCTCGTGGTGAGGCGTTTCAGGGTCAGCCGGCTCAGGGTGCTGCGCTTCATGTTGGAGAGGAGGCGCGCCATTGGAAGGTGGCTTCTTCTGTTTTTTCACGATCGAGACAGCGTCATTCGTAGGGATCATATCATCTTGCGGTTTTGTCTGTGTCAGTGGTGTTGAAGGCGCATCTGGACTCGATGTTGATGTTGGTAATTGAGTGGGCAGAGTCTGGAAATGGTTCAAGACATGTTAGCGATCATCCCTACTTGCCTGGGGATATCAAAGTCTACGAACATTTGCTTGCGAAACAGAGGTTGCAGCGAGAGGCCTTGTTTTCGTATGAATCGGTTCTCCATTCTCATTAACCACAACAACTACCTCAGAAACAGTGCGAGCTTGAGATGCACCGTGAACTTCTCCAAGACACTGGTTTGAATCTACTGATCATTAGTACACTGCACATCCACATCAACTTCAGCTTGGACCACAATATCTCACCTTGAGACACTGCATAGGCCCCAGATGAAGTAAGAAGCAAGGCCAATAGTGCCTGAGTAAAGTGCTTCATTGCAAAATTGGGTCCTTGGGTCGGAACTGCCGAGCCCTAAACTGGAACCTAGGGTCAGTAGATCACAGACATAACACTGAGAGTGACCTCAAATCCTCTCCACGCGAACAAGGGAAGAAGGTATTTGTGCAGATCAAGCGGGTTATATTCTGGGGATAAACCCCCGAAAAGCCTGTAGGAGAAATTACCAGCATACGTAAACAAGAGAGGTATGCCGAGCATAGTTATCCATGTGGGGTGGCATGGGGAATGAGATCAGGGCCAAGTTCTACAACGTACTGCAGCCCTGTGCCCCTTGTGCAAAGGGCTGAAGGAAGACAGGGTCGCGCTAGGGTTTTTGTTCAGACCATTTGGGAAAATAGACCTTGCTTTTCGAATGGGCCCAGATCTGGTGGATTTGGCGAAGAATGCCCCTGGCATCATCGTAGGTCAGAGGAATGCTGGACTCATTCCATTGGGTTCCCCGGAGACTAAGGATCCGGACCCGGCTCCAATTAGCTTGTAGACAAGACATGAGCGTTGGAACTTTTATTCGAGGCGGCAGTTAGAAGGGCAGGGAGCGACCGGCGAGTTTTCTCCCTGGGCTAGGGATCAGACGGCAATACCAAGGGCTTGGAGTCCAAGGAAGCCACGCACTGGGGAACGAGAAAAAGGAGTTGGACGTCAACTCCAAGACGTAAGAGCTTTCTACAATTTTACATTAAAGTCGGTGGGAAGGCCGAAGCCATCTATGTATTAAATTCAGCACAGCACTAGGCTGCAGCCTTGGAAAAATAGTATTAAACAACCTAAAGCCATGCACCGGTAAACTATGATACTACCCCTCAAAAAAAAAAAAAAAAAAAAGAAGAGCGAGGGTTTGGGGGCAGTGCTGTACAAGGTAGCGATAGCAAGATGCATATGGACAAGCAACTTAACAATACAGAAGAGGAAAGGAGGCATTAGGGCGTAGGATGTATAGGGAAAAACCAGAGGATGCCAGAAGTCGTTGGGGGCATGAGCGGTCATTTATGTGGCGAAGGCCATCTTTTCAAGGGGTTAGGCGAAAGGAATCTACTTCTTTTTGCTCATCACCTTGGTGATGGCGTGCCGGACGATGGTACCAGCCTTCTCGATCTCCTTCCGGGTGAGCCCGGTTGTGACGCAAACCTTCAGCGCAGCGGGAACGATTTGCTTGGGCTCAAAGTTATCCTCGAGAGTCTTGAGACGGGTGATAAGAACACCGTTGGCGAGACACTAGTAAGACATTAGCATGTTATTCTGTTGCTCAAGCATAGCGAGGTGTTATACGTACCTCATCAACGACATCTTGAAGCAGGAACTGCTGGTCGTTGTAAGAAAGCTTCTTGGAAGCAACAACCTCAGGCTTGATGACCAAAATGAGGACAGGGTTCTCAAGGGAGCTGGAGCAGTAGACCCAGTCACTCCGGGGGTCAAGTTGAGCCCGCATTGCTTTGGTCTGCTCACGAAGCTGCAATACCGTCTCGGGGCTATTCTGGAGGAGATTGATGGTCTCGCTGGCAGTGGTAGAAAGAAGGGCCGGAAGCGCTGCAGAGAAAGTGTACGCCGAGGCGGAAATACGCTGGTGGTGGACGATCTCCTCTGATCCAGCACAGAAGCCTCCACCACCCACGAGACAACCAGCCAGCGATCCCACGATCATGTCAACCTCTGCGGCGTCAACATTCTGGTGCTCAGTGACACCTCGACCAGTACGACCCAGGACTCCGAAAGACCACGTCTCATCCAAAATAAGACGGAACTTGTACTTGAGCCGTAACTCAATCTGCAAGTAGTGTTAGTCACATGACTTCGCTAGTTTTCCAAATGAGTTGTCACTTACGATCTTAGGAAGGTTCACAATGTCGCCATAGGACTCGAACATGCCCTCGGTGATGATGAACCGCCGAGTCAACGGTTTCCGGGCCTGCTCCTTGGTCACCTTGGCGAGAACTCTTTCCAGGTCCTCCATATCATTGTGTTCGTACCACCGGACAATGCTCCGCGAGATCTGAATACCCTTACGAATAGCGAAACTGACACCCTTGTCCGCAACGATAATGTCACCACGCTTTGAGAAGGCAGGAATGACACTGGAGATGGTCGAAAACGCCTGGGAGTACATGATACACGCTGCGGTACCCAAAAAGGACGCAATATCGGCCTCTGTCTTCAGGTGGACATCTTGCGTGCCGTAAAATCCACGGGGGCCACAAGGGCCAACACCGTAGTTTCGAAGAGTCTGAATCGCCTTCTCCTTGAGAGCCTCGTTGGTATTGAAGTTGTAGAAGTTGTAGGAGCTGAGATTGGTAACGGTGCGACCATTGGCAAGTTTGGACTTGGGACCGACAGGACTACGAACCCCCGAAGCAGGTATTCGTCAGCAGAAGTTCCGCACCCCGAGGTTGAACGGTCTCAGTTAGGAAGAAGACTTAAGACTTACCCCACAATCACGGTGCGCCTGGCAACCTCCATCTCCTCCAAAGGTGTTGGCTCTCCAACCAGTGGTTCAGGAGTCCACTCGTCCACCAGGTCGTCGATCTCATCCTCCGATAGTGACACCACGCCAGGCTTAGTCGAATACTTGGGAGCCAACAGATAGCGCACAGCGAACAGGAAGAGGAACAGCTCTACTGCCGATCGAATTGGGTCATCTTGATAGCTTGATTTGACGTAGCGCAAGAAAATAGCTGAGCCAGGTATTTGGTGGAAAAGGGTCGTGAGTTCTTGTAGGTACTCGGACAGGAGACGTTGCGTCTCTGCGAGATCCATGGCGGATGACTCAGTGGCACTAGTGTTGCTGAAAACACCAGCCAGATCGATTCCTGAAAATAAGAGTTGAGTAAGGAGCGGCGAAAGATGATGGATTCAGGGACATCCAGGATACAAGATGCGTCCGGGGGACACGGCCCGGCTGGATCGGGGTCGTCACGTGATGTCCTCAGCTTACAAGGAGCCCGGCATTCATTTCGCCGGTGGGCTTAGTACAGGCCCGCAGTATTTAATTAACTTGACAAAGGAGACGTTGTCTATAAAATGAAGCCAATGCAGATTGTATTCCGTTATGTTTATGGTGGGAAAAAGGAAAAGAAAAAGATAGAAAAACAAGCAGTCACGGCAAAGAATGAAGGTAAACCCCCCAGGGCCATGACGGAATCACTCAAAATACAAGAGTCATTCCACAGAGGCCATTAAGATCAACAAGGACGCCAGTGATTTAAAAAGAATGCAGCAAATCGCAAGGGAAAAATGGAAGAAAAGACGAAACTTTGTACAGGCCATTTTCATACAAGACGGGGCCAAATCCCCTCAAATCAACTTCCGGATGTAGGTAGCGGAATCACCGGTGGTAGCAGGTAGAGCGTCGGTGGAAACAGGCTTGTAGCCATCCGGCAGGTTGCTACCGGTATAGTAGGAAACAGTATCGTTCAGACCCTTGTCCATGGGCTGCAGGAGATACATCATCTGGTCGTTGGCACCGTTTACACCAATTGAGCCCCAGAGCGTAGTAAGGAACGGCTTGGAGATGCTAGACATGTTGTGAAGGATAATGGGCGCCACGAGAAGGACAATGAAAAGAACAAGCATGGCAAAGTAGAGAATGGCGAATCGAACCACACGTCTCTTGCGAAGCTTGGACTGCTTCAAGGAGTAGATAGGAGGGCGGATTTGACGACTGTGAATGTTAGTGGATGCACGTAGATGGAAAACAGTAGTGGACATACCTGGGACGCAGCCAAAATAGGGTAACGGAGTGGAACTTGTCCGCGTAAGGGATGGCAAGCATAGGCAGCATGAAGAACAGGATGATGTGGCCAAGAACAAAGTCGGCGGCGAAGTAACCAAGCTCAGTAATCTTACACAGGAACTCACGTCCGGGTTGAGACATGGAGTGCCATCCCATGTTGTACCATTTACCGGTCCACCAGGCGATGTTGGACTGATCGTGCTTGAACTCACGAGTGAGACAGAGGGAAATGATCAGCTTGTAAATGAAACGCTGGATGGCCATCATGGCAACGAGACCGGACATGGTTCGGGCCCAGTTAAAGGATTCCAAAACGAACAGGACCTCGAAGAAGACAATGAGCACGATGACAGCAATGGCATGGGCAATGGCCGCTAAGACGGAACCGAACTTCTTGCAGCACATGCTGAAGAGGGGACCCATACAACAAGCCATGCCGAAGAACATGCCAGCAACACCGGCGTTAATGGCAACGGGCGCCAAGGCACACAAGACGATACGTAGGATGGCGTTGGGGGCATAGAGGTCGCTGTTGCTGTACATGGTCCGGGAGTTGATGAACAGGTAGGGGATAAGGGTCACAGCGACGACAACCAGCGGGGCAATAATCTCACTGAAGAAGATGTTGGTGAAACGAGCCCGGGGAATGTCGCCGGAGTTCTTCTCAGACGGAACACCAAGTACCTTGCGCTTGTAACCGGTGAGTCTGGTACGGGATAGACGACAGAAACCAATCCAAGAAGAGGCATGCGATCGGGAGTTACCTCGCGAGAGCCAGCGGAGGTAATCACGGTAATCAATGAAGAAGTCATTCCATGCAAATTGATGAGGGTTGAAGAGGAAGGGCGAGATGATCAAAGCCAGCAGAGAAACCCAGAACCAAAGCAGAGCAGGGGTCCAGACGGTAGAAGTCGAGAATAGCAACATCATGAGTAGACGAGCACCGGCGTAGATTGAAGGACCAGCGAATCGAGAGTAAAGCACGCCGAAAGGAATTCGGGCTGTAGCGAAACCACGACCTGTACCAATGTAACGGGCACCACCGAAAGACAAGTTCTGATGCACAGCCTGGGCGTATATCTGACAGACGAACACCTCGAACATGAACGAGAAGGAACCGAAGTGCTTCGCCAGACGGGTGGCCATGCGCCAGACACCACGCTCGGTCAATTCTTGCACGGCAAGGGGAACCAAGGAAATGAAGAACACGATGAAAATGGAAATAACACAACGGTTGACCCAGTTGACGATC